TTTTATGAGATGATTATTTTTTCTGAACCACAGGCCTAGTGCTTAAACGGTAAAAGTGTGTTTGCACAAGAAAATCTTATATTTAGCAACTAAAACACCGTGACGTAGCGCATACACGAGCTGATTTTAGTCTTCATTTGCATGTTAAAATTCGTATACGAACTTTAGTGTTACCGTGGGGTTTTCCATTTAAAATCCTAATTTATGAACAATATTTGATGAGATTTACAATGACACTGTTAAAAAGGTTAATGAAACTGTAGAATGCTTGGTTTTTAGGCCGACGGCAAAAATATTTTAACATATTTATTTAATGTAACTTTAATACTCTATTACAAATTGTGTAAAAATATATCATTTGTGTAATCAAAACATGTATCATTTTTAATTTAGCTTTATCTCAAATAAATATACAGTACAACCTCTTCAGACCAAGACCTGGCATTTCAGAAATGAATATTTGGTTGCTGATGAGAAGTGAAATTACTAGAACAGTAAAATTGAGTGTGCAGTTTCAATTCAGTTTGAGCAATTGGTATTGTTAATGTAAAGAGGTAAGTGCTCTGCAGAGGAACTGCTTTACACAGGTTTAACTGTACATCCAAAATAAGTATAAATATTATTGGCAAACTATAACAAATTTCTGGACAAACATGTACAAGAATTAATGAAATTATCACTTTATAGGTTTTTACAACTTACAGTCATCATAATGGACATAGAAAAGTGGTTTCCCATTGACTTCCTTCTTCCCAAGAATCTCAGCCCAATCTGGAAAAATAAAATGTATCATTTGAACCCAGAGGCTCAAATTTATACAATACATAAAGCAGAATTTATATACAAAAAGGGATAAAGATGGAAGCACATTTTATCTGGTTGACTTTTTTACTTTGATACACAAAATATACCAGGTACAATATGGTGATAAAGTGGAAATTGTCAAACATAATCCGCAAAAATATTTACAAAACATGTTAATATTTAGCAAGGTTTACAGACACTTCACCCCCCTGACACTTCACCCTAGGCCCTTTTTTGCAGACAGTTCACCCCTCAGACAGTTCACCCCTCATTTTAAGAAATTTTGATTGAGACACTTCACCCCCCCATTTTTTATTTTGTGTTAAACAACTATTTATCTAGAAATGTTAAATGTATACATTAGTAATTGAGTATGTTTATTGTTTTAACATATTTTATTATTATTTTATCATGTAATTGACCAAAGACAATGGATATAACTTGTTGTTTTTGCCCTAAAATAAGGCTCATATCACAAAGTTATAAGTAAGTTAATTCTTTATTTTTATTTTTTTTAAATATTTTATACTAATTTCAATTAAGCTTAGTGGCCAATATGATGATCATGTTTGTTTTGGGTTTTACGTCACATCGACACAGTATAGGTCATATCGCGACGTTCCAGCTTTACTGGTGGAGGAAGACCTCAGGTGCCCTTCCGTGCATTATTTCAGGCACAAACAATGATGATCATGAATTAAGGACTGAGGAATTCTTGGCGAAAGTGGGTGAATTTATGGACGTTTATAAGAATGTGGTTTTTTGAACCAGTAAAATGTTGTTTTATTGCATGTTATATGTAAATGATCTAAAGAAATTATTACATGTTATTTGTTCCTGAATTATTAACTAAACAAAAATTTACTCTTAGAAATGTCAGGGTCTTTCAAATAGATTCTATTTGAAAGAACCTGGAAATGTCTGTAAATTGTCCTTAAATTAAAAAATTATTAATTAAATAATAATGAAAATAATTAAAATAAGCATATGATATAAAAAGCATTATGTTGTTAGCTTATTTACTTTTTAGAAAAAAATTGGATGAGGGGTGAAGTGTCTTACTGATTTTGGGGGGTGAAGTGTCTTGAGGGGTGAAGTGTCTTCAAAAATTGAGGGGTGAAGTGTCTGCGGGGTGAAGTGTCTGGCTACCTTTAGCAACAAGCTAATTAAACTTGCGATTTACTGTGCCTTTATTACTGCCAAAAACTTATCATTGAAAAATTTAATGCCGGACAACTATCCTTACAGTGTGTAAAGGCCATACATGGCGTATGTGTTTGTTTGTTTTGTTTTGGGTTTTACGTCACATCGACACAGTATAGGTCATATCGCGACGTTCCAGATTTACTGGTGGAGGAAGACCTCAGGTGCCTCTCCCTGCATGATATTTCAGGCACCAAAGATCATATTTTGGGCACAACGGGCACCTAAGTAGAACCACCAACGTTCCGTAAGCTAGCTGGATAGCTTCTTCACATGAAAGAATCAAAGTCCCTGTAGGGATTCGAACCCACAGCGATGAGCGGGCAACAGTGGTTTGAAGTCAACTCTGGCGTATGTGACTTCATACAGCTAGCCAAGAGTATATATAAGGATGATTCTATTTTCTTAAGTGTATTATATACAAGTTGTACTTCTAATGTATTGATAGGAGTTAAATCCAGGAGCATTGCCTTTATTTTAATGTGTACGAAATTCTGAGTACGAATAAAAACGTAAACAAATAATCTTACGCCATCCTTCTCCATTAGTTAGCAAAAACAGGCAATCTGCAGCCCTCCGTCAGTTCAAACTGAAACAAAACAAACAAAAAATAAGTTTGATTTTCACTAAATAGCATGAATAAACAATAAATTTGTTTTCTCACAAAAAAATAACCTCTCCTTCCGCCATGACAGTCATGGTTAGTTTTCGCCAAAAAACAATACTTTGTTGAATAAGAAAGTAAAAAATTTACTTAGAATATCATATTTATAAGTTTTTAAGTATTTCTATCGGATTTCTTGACATAAAAGGAATAAATACTCCCTAATCCTAATTTTAAAAGAGAAAATAACTCTAGTATTTTCGAATTTTTTTTTCTGGACATTTCGGTCCATTTCGGTAAAAAGGACAGTTGGATTTAATCCAATTCAACCCATATAACATTTCGACCCTCGAATAGAGGTAACGATCAAAAAATTAATAATTATATGATATATTTAAACTTAAAGTTGAGTAGGAAAAAAAATACATGAAAACATATTGAGCATTGGGAAAGAAATAGAGGAAAAATACGGGAATCCCTTAAGAACGCTTGTAAAAAACGACAAAAATTGAAAAGCCAATTGAAAAAAGTTGTTGGCTATGTTCATTGAGCTTGTTCAAAACAAACTTTGTTTTGCCACGTCATATTTAAGGCAGACAAAAATATCAGCTAGCAAGAAAGTCCACCTAATTAAGATGTTTCACTTCCAAGACATTTCACACTGTAGACATTTCACTCCTGTTTTGTCCATATAGACATTTCACTCCCAAATACCTGTACTTTTATTTGAGATACTCATACCAAATTTGTTTACTATGCCAAGCAACAGTTAGAATAGTACATCGATTTATATATTTTGAAGTTTTGCCTGTTGTTTAAAGTTACCTTAGAGAAATTGCGACATTTTAAAATTAGAAAAACCTGGGGAATTCTATTTGAATGTCTATGAGCAATAACTGAGACCCATTACAGGTAAATCAATAGTTTTGAACAATATATTTGCAGACAGCAAAGAAAAAGGCTGGGAAGTCATATTTCTTTGGTGAAATCATCTTCATATTTCTTACTGGTATTGAATTATATTCAAATTATGCTGGACAGGTACCTTTAACTTTGTTCTGTCAAAGTTTTGTACTCTTCCGTAGACAGATTTTTATTTTATTTTTTAAAAGGTGCCATTTGGGAACGGAAACTGATTGGAAGCCAGTAGTGTTTCATCTTCTTTTCTTCTTGTGAATACCGGACTCCTTCAATTCACTGAAATTATGACAAATTGGTACTGGTTAAATATATTGAAAAAAGTAAAATATCTTAAAAATTTGTACATTATGATTGATGAATTAATTTCTTGATATTGAGACCAGTAGAGTCACAATGACAATTGACAATGAAATAAATGCTTCTAATGTTACTTCTGCGTGTACATTAGGTGGTAATATATGTTCCATAGACGGATTTTTCTAGGGTAATATATGACTATTTATGACAATTTTTAGATGAGGAAATGCTTTTATAAATAGTTTAAAATAAAAACAGACGGACGAATAACATTAATTTTCTGAAACATTATTAAAAAAAAATAAAATATAGAGCATGAGGAAATACAAAATATTTCACCCAAAATTTGGCGAGTTCTTTTAAATGAATAATTTACATGCGTACATGTATATATTTGGTTTAGACATAGAAAAGTCCTGCATGTTGTAATTAAGGTTGTTACCACATTTAAGTGAAATTTTATATGTATGTAATTATGTTTCTAAAACAATTTTCAAACATCGAAGAATATGTAAAAAAATGTACTGCAAATATTTTTCCCATTATATCTAATCATTTAGATATACATGTATGCATACAGTTCTTATTGAAAAAATTGACTTTTTATAGAAAATGAATTTCTAATGACCTTCCTATATTAACATGAAATGTAAATTCAGTAATATATGTACAAATAATGCTTTAAGGAACTTACAGTATTAATAATTCTTCATTTGAGCATTATATTTATGATATAAAATCATAAAAAATTGAGTTGCATGATCTTTTAAAATTGTTTCACATTTCAATGTTTGCTGATAATTTTAAAGATTATTAAATATGTCATATGATAATTTTTATGTAATTTAGATGCAACTGATTTACTTTTTTCATCAGATTTAAGTCAATTCAATTTAAATATTTACACATGTATGTATTTAAACATTTTGGTAAAATGTTGTTACTAGCCTTCTTGATTACTAGCCTACTAATCCATATGCAATTGCATTGCATATGTGCCCAGTTTCTTCTTTATATTTCCTTTGATCACTTGATTTTGAACAGTGGATTTTAATCATTTATATCAGGTATTGGTTAAAGATCATTTAAATCACTAGAATATGTCTTACTTTTTTATCGTCAGAATGTCTGTTTGTTGAATTGCCTTGATACCGAAATTACTTAAGACCGAACTGTCTAGCACCAGTATCACTTCCGGATGATGAAAACATCTTAATTTTAAAGAAAAAAGGAGAAACACAGCTTATTTTGGCCATGGCAACGAATGTCAAACAAGAACCTGTTGAGGATACTGACCTAGAAACACGGTAGTGTTATTAAAATAAGCTTAGTATCATTCTTTTTCAGGAAAAATTTAAAAGTAATAGGTTTTCGCGATCAAATATTTTAACGTACTGTAACATGATGTAAATCATGATTTCTTTCAATTGGGGGCACAATTGGAAATCGTTATCTGCTAGATTATCTTGGATAAGGAAAAGACGGTAGATATATGTTTCATATGATCCAGCAATAGAACATCTGTGGTGAATTTCAACCCTAGAAATATCCCAGCCACTTCTTTGGTATTGTGGGCCAGGTTATTTTAGGCAGGGCACCTATCTAGGGATTGGGGAACTATGTTATTTTACAAACTTATGCTTCTGTTAATGGAACACTCTAGTAACAGGACATTGTAGCAGCATGATTGGCTAATTTTGTTATTTACATACTCTTAGCAATACACTAATAAACAGTATTTGATCTAGCAGATGATTGGCTATTTTTATTGATCAGTTGTGTTTTGAGTAAAGATAACTGGCTGCATATCTCTCAGTTTAAAATATATGTAAAATGGAAAGACTCAAAGTTTAATAAATAATCTGTGTTAGAAGAAATGTTGAAATTGATATTGATACAAAGCCTAGATCTTGAGCTTATAATTGGTGTGAGTATTTCGAAAATCTAACTATAAATTGCAATACACTTATAGTTTAAAAATGACGTTATTTGTATTGTTTTAGCATTTTAAAAGTTGATTTTTTACTCGCAATTCTGGACAGATAACTCTAGGTTTTCATTTATATTCTTGGTTATTAACATAGTTTGCACTTACAAACTCGCTTGCATGATTTTAGTTGGCCATATTCCCTAGCCACGAATGATAACTCATGTTTCCCCTGTCTAGAATTCTGCCAATTTGTTCCCTCTTTTAATGAACTCAAAGAAGGGACTTTTCTAAAGACTTTGTATTTATAAATTCAATTATTCGATAAGAAAGTGACATTTTTTTTCAATAACCATATATAATTTATTTTCTATCTATATATATTGCGGTTGCTGTGGTAAACAATGAGTTTTTATGGTAAACAAAGGAATTTTCTGGACCGGAAGTAATCTATACACAGCGTTCGCCTTCTAACTAGCTGTCATCATATGTAAACAATATGTTAAATGCGAAAGAATATTGAGATATTTGTTTGACTATCAGTTGAAAATGCAAAATATTAATATGAAAAACAACTATGTGTAGTTTATAGGTGTTGTTTTAATGTGTTTGACTGATATATTAGTTGTGAAAGCCATGTACACTAAGTGTAGTAGCAGCCGTACACATGGCGCTTCGTAGCAACCACGTAGGAAACGTGAACGGTAACTGAATGAGACATGGCTAAGCGCATGCTCACGCACTGACTTCCGCTTTATAGAAATACTGCATATATATATAGCGAAAGTTCGTAAGTGGTTTGTAAAGCTAGAGTGATACAAGTTATTTATTTTCAGGATTATAATGTTATGTCATAAGAATCCAGATGGAATCAATGATGCTTTGATACAAGAGGACATGCCACAGTTTGATGTTAAACAGCGAGTTACTGCCATTAACAGGCTTTTATCAACAGTGAGTATTCTTGTTTTGATGAAGCTTTTATAACTCATCAGAAACAACAACTTGAAAAAGCATGTATTTTTTACTTATTCTAAATAAAACGAAGGTATAATAGTGTATACAACAACATTTCTGATGCTAATACAGTAAAAACTCTGAAAACCGGACCCTCTGAATACTGGAATCCTCTGAATACCGGACCATTTTAAAGTCCCGTATTTTCTCCCTATATGTTCAATTGACAAAAATCCTCTGAATACCGGAACCTCTGAATTCCGAAAACCGGACTATTTTCTATGGCTTCTAATGCTAAACATGCTTAAAAGATCCCCTGAAAACCGGACAGCAAATTAAAGTGTCAACTTTCTGTGTACTTTAATGTAGATCTAAACATAATCTCAACAGGTGACATGTCCAATTACCTGAAATGGTAATCTCCTTTTATCTATGCAGGTGTGAAAACACTTGTCAGTATATGTGTCTATATGTTTCTTATTGTCAATTAAATTATAGCTCTTTTATTAAATTTGTGTCTTTCCTTGTATAGATGATTTTTAAAAAATGTTTCTAGTGTGTTATGTTGTATTTTTTTCCAACTATAAAATTTCTAAAAGAGTTGGGGAAACTTTGGATAAATGATTCCTGTTTTGCTTTAAATTTTGATTTTGAAGTTATCTTTGTTTGGATATCAATTATATGCAAAAATAGTAATACAAAATTCATTAATTACATATTTCAAAGCTAATGAAAAAGGTATTATGATATATTTCAGACAATGTGTTTTTACTTTCTGATTTTCTGAATTATATTCTTGGATTTGCATAATAAAATTACTAAGACATTCAGTGCAAAAAGAAATTAAAATATGACTTAGACAAAATGGTTGAAAAGTAAATACAAACTGATTGAACAAAGTCATTGTTCAAACACATCATAATTATCAATAATGTATAAAACCTCTGAAAACCGGAATCCTCTGAAAACCGGACTTTTGGTCAAGTCCGGACAGGGTCCGGTTTTCAGAGTTTTTACTGTACAAACAAACATGCATCAGCTGTTGTACATGGTCTAGCGTGTTAAAGATAAAATCTTCAGTTTAGTGCAGTAATGGGTAAACTCCTATTAAATTATATAATGAGTTAACCATTAGTGCACTAAGGTGACAAAAAACAGTTAATTGTGATAGTATTTATCATTCTGTTTAGTTTGAGTGTCTTTGAACCTTCCATCTACATTGCTGACCTGTTTTGGCGAGTCGGATTTTCCTTACATGTGCAAATAGCTTTAAATTTAAGACATAAAGTCAAAGGCTATAACACATTGATAAACAGTTTTGGAATTAACAGACTACAGGCTATTCCAATCAGTTGTGTTTCAAGTAAAGATATGCATATGTCTCTATATAAATCATAATGTAAAATGGCCTACTGGTGGTAAGTTAAACTGTCAAGTTAATTACCTTTTGGGTCATCAGGTATGTTGCAGCAGGTAATATTAATATGAAACTAAGATCTTGAGCTTTTCACTGGTGTAAGAACTCTGAAAATCAGACAATAAATAGCAATAAACTAGCCATTTAAAAATGGCATTATTAGTCCCCTACCGGTTTACCGGAGGGGACTTTAGGTTTACCCTCCGTCTGTCTGTCCGTCTGTCTGTCCGTCAGTCCGTCTGTCCGTCCGTCCGTCCACAAAACTGGATCCCGCGATAACACAAAAAGTACTGAAAATATTTTAAGGAAACTTGGTATATGGATAGATGGCAGTATGGAGATTATGCACATCTTTTTCTTTTCTTCCTATGTTGAAAATTCTGGTTGCTATGGCAACAAATAGACTGAAAATATGGCAAATTTAACACATAACCTGGATCCCGCGATAACGCAAAAAGTACTGAAAATTTTTTTATGAAACTTGATATATGGATAGATGGCAGTATGGAGATTATGCACGTCTTTTTCTTTTTTTCCTATGCTGAAAATTCTGGTTGCTATGGCAACAAATAGACTGAAAATATGGCAGATTTTACACATAACCTGGATCCAGTGATAACGCAAAAAGTATTGAAAATATTTTTATGAAACTTGACATATGGGTAGATGGCAGTATGGAAATTATGCACATCCTTTTCTAATCTTCCTGTGTTGAAAATTCTGGTTGCTATGGCAACAAATAGACTGAATTTCAAGATTTCTGATTCTAGTTTTTAAGTTTTTTCACTATAAGTTCTTTATTTCTTAAGGTATTTTCTTCAAACTTTAAAAATAAGTTGCTAGTCATCAACCACATCATATGTGACAAAGTTTACAACTCTAGCACAAAATTTATCAGAATTACCTCCCTTGAACTTAAAATTTTCATGAAAAAAAACATTGTTTGTTTTAATAATTTCTTTTTTTCTGAACGTATCTACTTCAAACTTCATATAAATGTTTCTTATTATCACTCAACATTTGTGAGTGTTCAATACTCTAGCAAGACTATTTCCAGAATTATGCCCCTTTTGAACTTAGACTTTTTTTTGAGAAATTGGTAATTTTTACTCCAACTTCTTCAATCATGATAGAATTTTCTTCAAACTCCCACATCATTATAATATGACAAGGTTTATAAATCTAGCATCAATATTTCCAGAATTATCTCCTCCTTAAACTTTTAATTTTTCCTATTTGTTCTTTTAACTTTCATTTACTTCAATTTCAAAATAAATATTCAATATTCATACCTTCATTACTAATTGTTCTTTGTTACACTCACATCATGTATGACATCGTTATCTCCTTTTTTTTTAAATTTTGCTTTTAAAATGTTATATTTTGATAACAGGGATGTTTAAAAAATAACTTTAGACTGTCCTTCAGTCCCTCTGTCTGTCTGTTCACTGTGATCACTTTTAAAGAACTTTTTCAACAAATTTACTTAAAATAGAAACATAAGTGAATGACCAATGGCCCTTCAGAATGTTGCTTGGGCTCTTACCGGTAGGGGACTTATGGATTGCTTGCAATACTATGATAATTGCTAGTTTGTATTGTTTTAGCATGAGCAAGATCTACTTAGTATTTTATTCACAATTCAGGACAAAAAAGTCTTGGTTTTCATTTGATATTCCTTGGGTCATAAAGACAATGTTTATGAGTGTATTCTGTCTAGTTACATCACATTTTCCTGACTTTTCTCCCTTTTGTACACTTAATGAAAATAAAAAACGGCAAATCTATTTCAGCATATTGTGTGTAACATAAGTTACCCTTTTCAAGTTTGAATTTGGTTGTGGTTCAATGATTTTGGACAAAGTTATCACTCTTGAATGTTTCAACACTCATACTTTTGTGGAAATGTATGTAGTCATTATTTTGTCTACAAATCTGCAATATGCAATTTACAAATGGTTAACACTGAATAGTTTCAGTGCCTTGAACTTTGTATAAAAATGGTTTGTGTTTACATTGAATAGTTTTAAGAGTTTTTAACTTAAAATGAAAAAAAAAAGTTTGTGCAAACAAATTTGGAACTAAATATTATAACATCTGAAATTCTGGGCTGCATGCGGGGGCATCCATGGCGTGACAACTCATTTTTAGTTGGAAGTAATTTCTTCTATTCAGGTTTCAGCCTCTGCTTGAAATAATGATGAAACTGCACCTGAGGTATTTCTCCACCAGTAAATTCAGAAATACATTGTATTGAAATATTTGTAAATAAGTACATGTGACTTCAGAAATATTTATAATTTTTTAGTAAATAATTGACTCGGTATATTGTAGGGCCGTATAGATTTGTTGAAGAGCAGTACAGGGAAGCTGATATACAAGTTGAAGGACCCGGGAGCAACAGATGTTCTGAAAGGGGGTGATCAGCAGGAAAAAGTTGTCTATCAAATCATCAAAGATGCAGGCAATAAAGGTAACACTGGAAGTAAAATACTGTTGTTGTTCTTGCCAACTCTAACCCTGTCTGTCCTCAAGTTTTCTTCTTTTCTGTGTCTTCATGTAAAATTGCTTGAAAGACTTGATATGCATGGGGGAAAAAACAACAAACAAGAGGGCCATGATGGCCCTGAGGTCGCTCGCCTGTATATAGGCCCCCCCCCCCCCCTGGCAGGGCCAATTTTAACCCAAGGGCTTTTATTTAAACAAACTTGGTAGACACCCATAAGAAGATGTTTCATGCTAAACATCTAAGCATTAGCTCATTGGGTTTTTTCAAAGAAGATTTTACAAGTTTTTACTATACACATATAGTAAAAAAAAAATGACAAAAATGACACCCCTGGGAAGGGGCCAGTTTTGACCCCAGGGCTTTTATTTGAACAAACTTTGTAGACACTTACTAGAAGATGTTTCATGCTTAATATCTAAACTCTAGCTATTTGGGTTTTTCAAAGAAGATTTTTAAAGTTTTTGCTATACACATATAAGGAAAATCAATGACACCCGGGGTTGGGCCAATTTTGACCCCAGGGCTTTTATTTGAACAAACTTTGTAGACACCCATTAGAACATGTTTCATGCTAAATATCTTAGCTCTAGCTCTTTGAGTTCTTTAAAAGAAGATTTTTTAAGTTTTTACTATATGCATATAGGGAAAATCAATGACCCCCTGGGGCGGGGCCAATTTTGACCCCAGGGCTTTTATTTGAACAAACTTGGTAGAATCACTCACTAGAAAATGTTCCATGCTAAATATCTAAGCTCTAGCTCTTAGAGTTTTTTAAAAGAAGATATTTAAAGTTTTTTCTTTCGGTTGCCATGGCAACCAAAGTTCTGCATGGAATTAAATTCTTTGAACAATTTTTAAAGGTGACCACCAAAGGAACATTCCAGTGAAGTTTGGATGAAATTGGCTTGGTGGTTTATGAGGAGATGTCATTTAAAGTAAAAGTTTACGGACGGACGACGGACGAAAAGCGATCACAAAAGCTCACCCTGTCACTTTGTGACAGGTGAGCTAAAAACAAAACAGAAAAACACCAAAAAACATGTTTACATTAAACTATAATTAAAATGTAGTATTAAAATGTACATTGTATATATTTTCTTTCTTTTTATCACAATGGATGTACATGTAATATTTTAATATTTTGAATAAGAATATGTAGATGTTTATGGCAGAATAAAAGAATCAACCTACCTTCGAAACCAACTTATAAAAGTTCTTGGTTTTAGTTTTAAGTCACTGGCCATAGTTGACTTTCCTGGTTTACTAGCAGACATCATGCGCCCCACTAAATTCATTCTTCAGGGACAGATTGGATGGTAAACTAGGGCCACCAACATTATTGTAAGCTACCAAGATAGCATCCTCCTCACATCTTCCTCACATGAAACCTGAGTAAAACCAACAATTTCTGATAGCCAACTCATTAAAAGAGATAAAATTCCCTTGTGGTATTTAAACTAAATTGCTTGCCATAAAAATTGTGCATGCTGGTATACTTTTAAGGGGATAAAACATGCATTAATTAATAAAATCACAAATTAATACACTTTGTTGCATGTTTTTTATGCCCCCGCCATGTAATGGCCGGGGCATATAGTGTTACCCTGTTCCGTCCTTTTGTCATTCCGTCATTCTGTCATCATCAGTTTCCGTTCATTATCTTAGTAACGGTTGCACTCATTCAACTCAAATTTGACATATGGATATGTCATGAGAAAATACAGGTCAAGTTCGAATTTGGTCATGGTTCGATGATTTTTGGCAGAGTTATGCCCCTTTTACTTTGAAAATAATATGAAATTTTCAGTTTCCGTTCATTATCTCCCCAACGGTACAACACATTCAATTCAAATTTGACATATAGATATGTCATGATAAAATAGCGGTCAAGTTCCAATTTGGTCATGGTTCAATGATTTTTGGCAGAGTTATGCCCCTTTCACTTTGAAAATAATATGAAATTTTCAGTTTCCGTTCATTATCTCCCCAATGGTACAACATATTCAACTCAAACTTCACATATGGATATGTCAAAGGAATGCGCTGGTCAAGTTCAAATTTGGTCATGGTTCAATGATTTTTGGCAGAGTTATGCACCTTTCACTTTGAAAATAATATAGATACATCTTAGGAATAAGCAGTTTAAGTTTGAATTTGGTCGTGGTTCAATGATTTTGGATAAACTTGTCTTTCTTGAATGTTGGAAAAATTTTGAACTTTCAGTTTTAGCACTCATACTTTTGTGGAAATGTATGTAGCCATTATTTTGGCTACAAATATGAAATATGCTATTTTCAAAAGGTTAAGACTGAATTATTTCAGTGCCTTGAACATTGTATGGAAATGGTTTGTGTTAACACTGAAAAGTTTTAAGGGCTTTGAACTTAAAATGAAAAAAATAATTTGTGCAAACAAATTTGGAACTAAATATTATAACATCTGAAATTTTGGCTGCATGCGGGGGCATCCGTGGCATGATGACACATTTCTAGTTTTAACATGTGTGACTCAGGTAGCCATGTAAAAACAGCTGACTGCAGTGATGCAATAATTACATTATCAATATATGTTGTAAAATGACGTCTCACCAGCAGATAAAAGCATGACAAAACTGGTTTTTTTGTGTCGCCTTCAAAAGGCGATTATATAGGGGTTTACTTTTGTCGGCGTCCGCGTCTTTGTCAGCGTCCCCATAACTCAGTCACTATAAGTCGGATTGACTTCAAACTTGGTATGCATGCTTCTTTTAATAACCAGAAGTGCAGTGCTCAAGGACCGGTTCTCTGCACTTCATAATTTTTGAGTTTTTGCCCTTTGTTAATTTTCATACTTTAATTTTGTCCAGGCCATTTCTCTTCAACTATAAAAGCTATGGACTTGAAACTTCATAGGATGATAGATCTCATTAAGAAGAAGTGCAATGCACAAGAAACGGTACTCTGTATTTCTTATTTTTTGAGTTATTGCCCTTTGTTAATTTTCATACTTTATTTTTGTCCAGGCCATTTCTCATCAATTATAAAAGCTACGGACATGAAACTTCATTGAATGATAGATCTTATTGGTAAGAAGTGCAGTGCACAGAAACTGCTGCTCTTCACTTCTTATTTTTTGAGTTATTGCCCTTTGTTAATTTTCATATTTCATTTTTGTATTGGCCATTTCTCCTAAACTATATTGTTCACAAAGCGACACATCCGACTCGCGGAGTTCTAATTTATACAATAAACAAATAAAGCAAAAATAACCAAATCAGACATATACAATCACATATGCATTCACATTTGCAGAAGCCCTCAGACTTATTCATTCACTTGCCTGGGCTTGGCTTTTAAATGCATCTCTGTGCTTCTGTAGATGTTAATGCATGAAAAAGGGGCATTGACCTTCTATTGATACACAACAAATAATTCAAATTGGCAAGCTATCTATTTTGCAACAAATTATAGAATATGGTGTTTAACATTTACAGGAATCTGGATACGGGACATTAGGTTTAAGTCTAACCTGTTATTGACACAAGTTAACAAGATATTGAAGAATCTGGAGAGCAAGAAACTCATCAAAGCTGTGAAATCTGTAGCTGTAAGTATTAACATGTTGTCATAGATTATCACATTACAACATGCAGTAAACCTTTCATTATCTTACAGTTTGTTTTGTTTATGATATTTCATATGATGCATTATACACACATTATTATGTGTTAAAAAAGTGCAATTCCAAATTATACCTACTGCAAAGAATTAAATATTTCATAGACATTCCCATTAGAAAACTATTTTTTAACTCCTACATACTACCTCACTTAGACTATTGTTGCTCTATCTGGTGAAATTGTAATTTGGAGCAAATACAATCCATAGTTAGATTTCAAAAAAGAGCAGCTAGGATTATACTAGATCAACCATATGATGCCCAGTCTGAAATCTATTTCATTTTATTAAACTGGATGAAATTCCCAGACCAAGTCAAATAAAACAAGCAATTATGGTATATAAGTCAATTAACAATATTTTGCCAGAGTACTTAAAACAAAAATTTACCTTCAACCATACTATTCATTCTTCTCGCACCCCACGTTCAACAGATTCAAAACTTAACATATATACCAACCAAAACCAAAAGTAGAATTTTTTCAGAAAAAAGTTTAAACTATTTAGGATCAAAAATTTGGAATGAAATACCAATCAGCATACGCTTTTGCACAATATTAAAATTTTAAACATAAAAAATAAAAAATTGGGAAAAAGAAAATAAATAAAAAATTATAAAAAAAACAGGGCTCAAATTAAAAATTTGTTTTTTGTAAAAGGTTTTTATTTAATTTTAAAAATGTTGTTCATGTATTTTTATTGGGGCAGAAAGCATTTATTTTTAATTTTTTTTTAATTGTCTATTTGCAATAAAAATAATTTTTAAGGGTTATTGAAATAATATTTAATTTTTAATTACAATAAATAAATTTGTAAAAAAATTTTACTTTTAATGAGGCCAGGGGGTAAAAATTTTCCCCTTTGGGGGTTTTAAAACCTTTTTTGGGGGGTCCTTTAAAATAAAGATTAATTTATTTTTATTATTATTTATTTTAAAAATTAATCCTATTTTTTAAAACTGGTTTTTTATTTTAAATTTATTTTATTTTAAAAAGATTTTTTGACGGTTATAGGGCCCTTTAATAAAAATTGGCTTTTTAAAAAATAAAATGGGGTTTACATTTGGAAAACCCAACCGTTTAAATACGGGTATAAAAACCTGGCAAAAAATTTTTAAATAAAAAATTTTATAATACAGAAAGTTTTTTTCCCATAAATTGAAGCAGTGTGTATAAAAATTTAAATTATATGTTAAAGTTTTTTATCCAATGAAAAGTAAAGTTACAAAAAAATATAAATTATAAAAGGTTTTTCCCCAGAAAACCCCCGACGTTGCCAAACGTTGGATAAACTTTTAAATTTTTGGTCAGAGGGTGGGGGTTTATAAAAGTAAAATTGAGTTAAATTAAAAGGTCTAACGCCCGTTTATTTTGATTCGATCGATGTGGGGTTTTGGTGGGTAATTGACAATAGGAAATTTTTAAAATTTTATAAAAAAAATATATATATATATAAATAAAGCTAACGCGAAAATTTTTAAGTTAATTTAAAAAGGGAAAACATTATAAAATTTATTTTCTCCATAAAACCAGTATAATGGGTGGCTAACGAGATATTCGAAAAGTGGGGCTCTGTAAACGGATAGTCTGAATCATTTAATAAAATATTTTGCTCTATTTTGTTTAAAATTTTTCTTTTCCCCTCGAATTATCTAAAGGGGTTTATTTTAATTTAAAAAATGAGCTTTTATTTTTTGGGAGGGCTTCTTTTTTTTGGGGTTTAAAATTTGAAAATTCGAATTTTGATTTCGGTTTTGAAATTAAATTGTTTTGGGCGGAAAAAAAACGAGGGGTTGAAGACAAAGTTGTATTTTCCCAAACAAAAAAAGGGTGGGAAACCTTTTAATTGTTTTTAATTTGCAAATTTACCGCATTTTTTCCCATGGATTCGATGGTTTTTTTGATCTTTTAAAATGTTTGACGGGAAAAATTAATGAAACGTGATTGCGAGAAAAATTTTTTTTTTCCCAGTAAGCCTTTTATATTTGCTATAGAAAGTCTGTATATCGGAAAATTTTTCCACACTTTTCCCCTTGAAAATAAAATCCCAAAATAATGGTAGGAAATATCCTAGAAATTGAAATAAATTTTAAAGTTAAATGCTAGAAAGATCTTTTATTAAATTGCTGGTAAAAAAAATTTTTTCTTATTTTTTACCCAAACTTTTTTCCCTTATTGGGGGGCCAGTCATTTACCATGGCTTTTGATTTTATATTGTGTATTTTTAAAACTACTCGTTTTTTAATTTTTGAAGTCTTTTACCCATCTTTTTAGCATCCCTTGTGTTTTTTTTTTAGGGATAATAAATTCAGGGGCATTTGATAATGAAATTTGATAACTTTGGAAAGGATAAAAATCTGAAAGCACATTGTTTTTTTGACTAGCTTCTTTTTAAATGTAATCAAAAAACTATTATAATAAAAAAACCTTTATCATAGTTTTTTAAATCATAAAAGTAATAGTTTTTTTAATACCCTGTTATAACAAGTTGTATGCTCGAAGATCATGCTGGGCGAGATGATTCTAAAAATAAGTAAAATGTAAATTTCTTTGATGTTTTTTAAAAGCTTTTGTAAAAAGAAATTGAAAAAAAAAATAAAAATATAATTTTTGCGGGAGTAAATTATTTCATTTTGGTATTAGTTAACGGGTTTTTCATCCCGTTTATAATTTTAATAGTTTAAATAGTAATTGATTTTCCCTTATTGTTTTTAGAAAAACATTTTTCCACCAAATGGTTAAATTTTTAAAACAATTATATTTTTTTTTTTCAGTTTGTAAAAATTATGAAATTAAAATGTGTAAAGGGTTGGGAGGGGGTTTAAAAATTTTTTAGGGGAAAAAGAAAAAAAAAACCTCCCAAGTTTTTGGGTAAAGGTATTTTCAAAATTTTAAAAAAAAATACAGTGTTTTTTAAACCCTTTTGTTTTAAAATAAATTTTCCACAAACCCATTTTTTTTAAAATTTAATTTGTATATCGTAGGTACAGAAAAACAAATGGTTTAAAAAAATTTTAAAAATAAAAAAGATTTTTTAAGTATTTGGAGAGTTTTTTAGAATTTCGTTTTTTTTATAATTTTGTATAAGTGATTTTTTTTTGGCACTTGTAAGTTTAAATTTTAAATTTTTTTTAATTTCGAAAGTTTGATGGATTTCGGGTTTGGGACGGAAATTTGATACGTTTAGTATCCCCCAGGACAATAGTGTGGGAGGACGAAAAAAAGCTAAAATTAAAATGAAATTATAAACATTGTATTTATTTAAAATTTAAAAAAAATATTCAAAATTTATTTCCTTTTACTTTAAATTTAAATTTTTAGGAAAAATTTAAAAGAAAATTATACTCAGTAAATTGGATGATGTTTTGAAAACCCCAAAAATTTCTGAGTGATAGTTCAGGGGAAAAATATAAAAAAAAACCCCGGGCTTTGGATTTTTGCTATAAAAATGTAGTTTTAAATATTCAAGAAGGATTTTTTTTATTTATTCTAAAACATGCTTATTAATCCCATGAAGCGTTATTAAAGTAAAAAAACCGTAATTTTAATATTTTAAAAATTTTTTTATGTAAATTTTGGCATTTTTATTGTAAATTTTTTTTTTTTATTGTGTTTTCCTTTTTATAAAAAAAATTGTTTAAAATCATAAGAATCCCTTATTTTTTAAACCCCTTTTAAAAAGACTTCAAAATAAAAAAAAATCATATTAAAAAGTTTTAATGAGGTTAATTTGGTAGAAAATTTTGGGTAAAAAAGGTGGCATATGGCAATAAGGGAAAAAATTTTTGGTCAAAAAAAGGTTTATGTCCAAAAAAAGGGTCAAAAAAGGTTTTGGTTTTATGGTAGATAATGTAAAAAAGGTTGGATTTGGTAAAAAAGGTTTGGGGATAAAGGCTTTTATGCGTTTTTAAAAGGGGGTTTTTTGGGTTAAAACTTTCAACCCAATTCCCCAACGTTCCCCCAACGTCAGGTTAATAGCCCTTTGGTACAGTCTTTTGTTTGCTGGTTAGAATTTTTTTTTTAAAATTATTTTTTGAGTAATTGGGGGAATAATTAGGTTTTAAATGACCCCATTTAAAAGCTGATAGATTTTGTGTTTTCCCATGAAAGACTTTTCCCCTTTTTAACCCTTCCCTAAATAAAAAATGGTACCCCCCCGGTTTACTAAGTATTTAAAACCAATACTTTGGCCCTTGAGATTAAGCCCTTTTTGAAGGGGTTTTAATATTAGAAAGGAATTTTTGCCCTCATTTGGGCGGGCTGAAAATGGGCCCATTAAAAAATATATTTTTTTCTTGTTACCCTTTTTATTTTCAAAAAAAATTTTTTTTTTTTTTATTACTAGTTTAAAAGATGACTGAATTCTTATAAAGTAAAAAAAGAAAGTGATTTTCTATTATTAAAATAAAGAATACATGCCCGACCCCCATTTTTACTTATTGCTGTAAAAAAAGCGGTTTTAAAATTTCGGGGGATTTAGTCATTTTAACATGCAGAACTTTTGAAGCTCATTTTTTAATTTTTTCAAAAGTTTTAATTGAAAATTTGGGACAAAGGGGCATTGTAGGGTTACAAAAATTTTGAAACAATATTTTATGAGTTATCACCCTTTTTAATTAATTTTTAAAAACGGCATTTTAACCCACAATTTTGCTCTTTTTATTGATGAGAATAGGATCAAAAAATTTATTTTAAAAATTTTTCCAAAAGTGATGCTTTTGTTACCATTTTAGTTAAATAATACAAAATAATGCTCTTTTTCACTTTTTAAAAAAAATGTTATCCAATTTGATCCTGATTTTTTAAATTTATGCTTTCTTTTGATCCGAATTAGTATTAAATTTCCCCAAATCTTAAAACCATAAATAGATATTTCTCGAAAACAAAATTGTTAAAATGTAATAAATATTGAAAAAAGAAAATTTCAGACCCTGATCCTGAATTTTTCTTTGCCACAGAACCCAGTTTTTTT